GCCTCGCCGTTGGGGCCTTCTGCCTCCGCCCCGTCGCCGCCCTCGTCCGAGGAGACTGCGATGCCCAGTAGGACTGCTGCCGCACTCACCTCCTCATGGGCGGGGTGCCCTGAGGGTCTGGGTGGGAGCAGGCGCTCCGACCGGGCCCGCTTCGGACATGACCTCGAGGGCGACCATTCCACGGCGGAAGGGTCTCCAGGCGGGAGCGGGATGGGCATGACTGGGGAATGTGCCTGGCGGGGAGGTGTCAGGAGTCGGTGTGGGGGGGGGACGCGGGCGAGGCGCAGGGGCAGGTCGTCCATGCCTTGTACACAGTAGTCGTCCTTCATTATACAAGGGGCACCCAGGACCACGTTGTCCGGCACTCGCCACACACCGAACGAGCACCAACAGCGTACGCGCGCGCCAGCAACGGCCAGCGCGCGTCAGTCCCACACCAACCTGGTCTGGGAGACTCGGCAGATGATCACACGGCAGCTTGAGCTCCGCTTAAGTATGAATATGACCGAAGCGCGTTTTCAAGCGCTCCTGGAAGCCATGAACGTGGGGCGCGACCGATCGAAGCTCCTGAACCCTGCTCGACCACTTTTGCCGGGACGGGAAAGAGGCTCCTTTCACAGGCCTCGGGTGCTTCAGTCTTTTGAATTTGTCTGGGGTCGCTCTTTGAGGAAGAAGGGAGTATCGCCAAGGCGCAATGAAGGGATGAGGGCGCCCGCAGCCTGGGCGCCAGAACCGGGGCACGGCGCCTTTGACCGTGGCGCGCTCGCGCGCGTGGACGCGGGGGGGGGGGGGGGTAGATAGTGGTCTGGATAGAATATAGGTCTCCCAGAAGAAAGGGGTGTGAATCTGGCCCGATGCGCGCATGCCTGACTCAGTTCCTGGTCTCTGGCACAGCGTATGCAAGAGCAGTAGTCCCATTTATCGATCGAGGTGTCATATAAAGCACTTCTCGGACGCCCCCCCACCCTCTTCTGGACCGGCGACCCCGCGTCTACACCCTTTCAGTGCCTCGCCCTCGCACAACAACCCACTTCGACGCAATGCCATCCGACTGTAATGCCTCGGTGAGTCCCGGAGAACGCTGGGAAGTCGTAATATAGGACTACCGCGGAGTTGGGCTGTCGTCTGTTTGGTGGCGGCATGGACGGGATCCGGCCGCGTCGACATCTTTAGGGTGTGCGCTACCCGTCGCCTTGGGAACATACTTTCCCTCGTTGAAGACCATCCACACCTCTTTGT